AGAGTTCAAGTCCATCTTTTATAGTACTGTCTCGAAAAGGCCACCACCAAGGAAGAACAACCATGATTACCAATTCTTCACCTAAGGCTGAAGAAGATCTGCCATTCATATCCACAGCAAGTGGTCTTATGATAAGAGCTTAAAAATTCTGTGAAGCCAACCTAAAAGTGGCTTACAGCCAATTATGGGGGAATAAGAGCTAAGACTGATTGGAGGAACTGGTCCTTGTTTCAGACAGACCGCATGAGTTTATGAAAGGCTCCGTCAAGCCTTGTAGGTGTTGCGTATTTTAAGGACGCAACAGAGGTGTTCCACATTTGAGACTTGGGTCTCATGAGTTTGTTACAGGGTGTACACATTTAAAAAAAAAAAAGAAGCCTTGTGGGCTATGGGATGAGTTTTGGGTGTATATGACAAGGCCACTGGAACAAGTCTGGACAGGCCATAACAAGTTAACATTGGCCTCATTTATTTTCTACAAGCTTTAGGACTATGGGGCAGTTTAACTTGACTTGGAGAGGTCCACATGAGAACACATGGGTCTTACAATCAGATGAGGACTCTAATGAGCACATATCAGACTAAGCCTTTTTAATGGTGACCTTGCACATGGTGGTATGCAGAATGGTTGAGTCAAGAAAAAGGTCCACCTTCCCTTACCACAGGTGACAGGTGCTCTTCAAAAAACCCTTTGCATTACATATGTGAACGTTCACGCTTTATGGAAACCTACTACATGAACTATTTCCAATACACACATTGAGGTAGAGTAATCTACTGTTTGTGAGTTCTCTGATGTCGAACGAGATCAGATTTCTGAGTAAAATTCCTGTTGCAGTCAGGGCAGGGAAAGGGTTTCTCCCCCCTGTGAAGTCTCTGGTGGTATATCAGGCTGGCCTTCTGCATGAAGCTCTTGCCACACTCCGTGCAGAAGAATGGCCGCTCCCCGGTGTGGACCCTTTGGTGGTTGATGAGCATTGTCCTGTGCGCAAAACGCTTGCTGCAGTCCGTGCAGGCAAAAGGCTTCTCGCCAGTGTGGATTCTCTGATGGGTGACCAGATCGGACTTCCCGATGAAGGACTTCCCACACTCGTCGCAGGAAAACGGTTTGTCGCCGACGTGAATTCTGAGGTGGTAGACCAGATCCGATCTCTGCACAAAACATTTCCCGCACTCAGGGCAAGGAAAAGGGTTCTCGTCAGTGTGTATCCTCCTGTGTCGGATCAGAACCGACTTCCGCGTAAATTTTTTTCCACAGTCCGAGCAAGGGAAGGGCTTTTCCCCCGCGTGAACGTTTTTGTGTAGGGCCAGGTCGGACTTTTGAGTGAAACATCTGTCACAGTGCGGACACGCGAACGGCTTTTCTCCCGTATGGATCCTCTGATGCCTCGCTAGGTCTGACTTCTGAGTGAAGGCTCTCCCACAATCTGGACAGCAAAATGGCTTCTCCCCTGTGTGAATGCGCCGGTGCGCTATCAGGTTAGCCTTATGGCTAAGGCTTTTCCCACAGTCGGGACAGGGGAATACTTTTTTGCGTCTACAGTTAGTCGAAGGAGCAACAGGGCTGGGGAGTTCCATGGAGTTAGTAGGGATTGGCAAAATGCTCGCAGAGCAAAGGACGATCTGGATATTTGGGGCGACACTGCTTTCATGAGAGGGGACCAGTGCAATGTCGTTGTGCTCTGTTTTGCAGTCTTGAGATGGAGCAAGATACACCTCCAAGATGTCCTCATTTTTGTGCCCATCTGTGGGAAAAACAAAGTGAAAGGTAAAAACATGCAACTGCATTTCTGTTAGTGCAAGCTCATTTTGACAACCAATTTTGGCCAACTCTGCCAAATACTAGACCCCATTGATTGTCTTCTACAAATTTCTAAAGATGACCTTCTCTCCCTCTACAACTTTATCTTATTTTGATACAACCAGGTTACCAAGTGGTCCTCTTACCAATCTCAAGATCTACTGGAGCCACCTCCTCCTTAACAGTCACTGGTATTGCAATCTCCTCTTCTTTAACAATGATATTAAGTTCACGTAAGTCCACTGCAGCGTTATATGAATTAGGACTAGGACATCTTTCTGGTGGGTTCCTGTCAATGGAACCATCTGTAGGAGACAAACACAGACACCGAGAACATCATTTCTATGTGTTTATAAGATGATAAAGGATCTAGGTTGACCCTCTGTACTGCTCCATACTTTACAAATGAACCTCTTACCCAATGATGTGGCAGGTGTCTTAGTCTCCATCATGACGTTCTTGTAGAGATCCTTGTGTCTTTCTAGATTCTTCCACTCCTGCATGGAGGAATAGACAGTGACCTCCCAACACCTAATTAGAACCCAAAAACACACAATGATACAGTCACTATCCAGACACATCCCTTGTTTGTCTATCAACAACAGCTATAGCACTTCATGCAAGCAGCTAAATATGAGGTAACAAAACATTTTTAACGATGGCTTATTCCATTCAGACAGTCATGAGATCCAGAACCCCTCCATCGCCCATTCAATTTTGCTTAAAGCCCCTGGACTTTCACCGCAGCAGGTTGTTAGATTTACTTTCTTGGCAGGAGGGTTGGAGGAAGAAGAGAGATCCAGGAAGATCTGGACACCTTACTTCTGTTTGGGATCTCTCTCTAAGAACTGGTGGGCAGGTGGCTGAGAATTCATTGAAAGGCACCTCCCAATTAATTCTTAGCCAATTCAATGATCCCATTGGTTGGTTCTTTGAGGAGATCCTAAATGGAAATAACCCGTCCATTGCCACTCTCTCTCCTTGAGAGAGAGCAGCACTGGACAGCTACCTTCTGCTTGGGATCTATCAAAGAACAAGTTTGTTGAGAGGCTTTCACTTGGGATCCCTCAAAGAACCAGTTGGTTGTGACATTTCTGATTGGGTTCCTTTAAAGAACCAGTTGCTTGGGAGACTCCTGGTTGGGATCCCTCAAAGAACCGGTAGGTCGGGAGCTTCCTCTTGGGATCCCTCAAAGAACCAGTAGGTTGGGAGGCTTCCGCTTGGGATCCCTCAAAGGACAAGTTGGTGAGGCGGCTTTTGCTTGAGATCCCTCAAAGAATCAGTTGGTTAGGAGGCTTCTGTTTGGGAGCCCTCAAAAAACCACTTGGTTGGGAGGCTTCCGTTTGGGATCCCTCAAAGGACCAGTTGGTGAGGAGGCTTCTGCTTGGGATCCCTCAAAGAACCAGTTGGTTAGGAGCCTTCTGTTTGGGAGCCCTCAAAAAACCACTTGGTTGGGAGTCTTATACTTAGGATCCCTCATAGATCCATTTGGTTGAAAGGCTTTCGCTTGGGATCCCTCAACTAAACAGTTGATCAGGAGGTTTTACTTGGGATTCCTCAAAAAAACAGTTGGCGGGGAGACTTAAGCTTGGGATCCCTCAAAGAACCAGTTGGTTGGAAGGCTTCTGCTTTGGATCATTTAAAGAACCAGTTAGTCGGGAGGCTTCTGCTTGGGATCCCTCAAAGAACCTGTCAGTTAGGAGACTTCCACTTGGGATCCCTCATAGAACCAGTTGGTTGGGAGGCCTCTGTTTGGGATCCCCCAAAAAACCAGCTGGTCAGAAATCTTCCACTTGGGATCCCTCATAAAACCAGATGGTTGGGAGGCTTCTGATGGGGATCCCCCAGAGAACCAGTTGGTTGGAAGGCTTCAACTTTGGATTATTTAAAGAACCAGTTGGTCGGGAGGCTTCTGCTTGGGATCCCTCAAAGAACCTGTCGGTCGGGAGTCTTCTACTTGGGATCCCTCAAAGAACCAGTTGGTTGGTAAACTTCCGCTTGGGATCCCTCAAAGTACCAGTTGGTTGGAAGGCTTCCGCTTTGGATCCTTTAAAAAACCAGTTGGTTGGGAGGCTTCTGTTTGGGATCCCCCAAAGAACCAGTTGGTCGGGAATCTTCCACTTGGGATCCCTCATAAAACCAGATGGTTGGGAGGCTTCCGCTTGCAACGAACACTGCGGCGAGCAGCAAGGCATGCAAGTTCCCAATCATGTGACAGCCAGTCACAGTTGTCACGATTGGGAAGTCTGTCCCGCCCCCCCCTCCCCAGTTAAAGGGGAAGGGGTTAATAAAGGTTATGTAAACCCAAACAATTAACTTCTCCTATTTGCTCCCCTTTGGTCTGTTCTATATACACGCTGAACACATTTCCTTATATCTGTTCAAGAAGTGCAAATTATACCCGTTGATCCTGCCAGAAATTCTGCAAGCTGATAACTTCCTTTGCTGTCTGCCTGTGCCAAAATCTTATCAGTTACATTGTTCTCTGAGGGCTACAGAACCACACCCTCCATATTGTGAAGGGGCATGGTTTTGTAGCCGCGTTTACAGACGTGTGAATAAGTGTTGTCACCCTAAGACATAATGGGGTGTATTTATAAAAAAAAGTTCATCCTGTGCTATTCATGCGCTGTGTGAATGGAGGAAAACTCGAATGTTATTAGACTATGCTTTCTCCAGGTTGGATGTTATCCACATATACAAAATAGCATGAATCAGGAAAATACTGCATTATGACCACTAGATGGAGCTGATGACCACAACACAAAGAATACTTTGTCAGCTCCATCTAGTGGCTATAGTGCTGCAGTTTCCTAATCCATGCTATTCGGTATCAATGAAGAACATTCGACCTGAAGCAAAAAAAAAGCCTAATAACATTTGATTTATTTTTTCCCCAGTCACACACAAAAAACGTACATTTGGTTTCGCAGGATGAATTCCTCTTCTGGAAGGGTATAATTACTGTCTGTGCTGACCCAGCTCCTCTGCTCTGCCCTACAGAGCCTTATATAAGCTGCGGATATAATGAATGCAGGGTCCAGGGAGACCAGATATAATGAATGCGGGGTCCGGGGAGAGCGGATATAGTTAATGCAGGGTCCAGGGAGAGCGGATATAGTTAATGCAGGGTCCGGGGAGAGCGGATATAGTGAATGCACGGTCCAGGGAGAGCGGATATATTGAATGCGGGGTCCGGGGAGAGCGGATAGAGTGAATGCGGGGTCCGGGGAGAGCGGATATATTGAATGCGGGGTCCGGGGAGTCCAGATATAGTGAATACAGGGTCCGGGGAGACCAGATATAGTGAATGCAGGGTCCGGGGAGAGCGGATATAGTGAATGCGGGGTCCGGGGAGAGCGGATATAGTGAATGCGGGGTCCGGGGAGAGAGGATATAGTGAATGCAGGGTCCGGGGAGAGCGGATATAGTGAATGCAGGGTCCAGGGAGAGAGGATATAGTGAATGCAGGGTCCGGGGAGAGAGGATATAGTGAATGCGGGGTCCGGGGAGAGAGGATATAGTGAATGCGGGGTCCGGAGAGAGTTTGGTATGCTACTTAAATTATAGCTCTGAGCCTGCTGACATCACATCTAATTACTGTGTGTGCTGGTCCAGCTCCTTCACCCTGCCCTACATAACCGTATATGGAGCTCCCGGGGGAGGAGCAAAGAGAAATTCTACTTGAGTGCATAAAATACATGAAACAATAATATGGAAGGTTTACTGTTGAATTGAATGATCTAATGAGAGTCTTTTTAAGAGATATCCATGGCGTCGCTGGCATAGCGAGACCAGCAATGGTGCAGCACCTGATGCCCTTCGCACCTCTGTGTCTGGTTGACCGCAGAACCGGCGCAGCGCGCGTCTCCTGGCAACCAATACGCTCCCAAGGTGCTCAGCTGCTAAGAGGAAACTGTTGATCATCTGTATATCGCACACAGGGGACACCATGTCCTGTAGAAGGTATACAGTCCATCACCCACTCTATGGAAGGTCTGCATAACACACATCCCCCACCATCTCCACCCACATTGCAGATTATTATCACCATACAAAGCCCCACAAACCCCCTATAAACACAGTACAGCTCTCACCTGAACACTCCCACCAGCAAACCCCGGCCACGCCCCCTCCAGCGCTGATTGGAAGATGGAAAACAAGCACAGCACACGGAAATGTCTCCAGTGTAAGGAGGCGGCCATGTTGTTGTAGCCCAGCACAGCTGACCCGGAAGACCGCCTCTAGCTGCAGGAAATACAACTCCCACAATCCGCCAGGGCTGCTTTCCAGAATTTAACCCTTTCTTCTGAGGCTGAAGAAGCTGGGATGGTAACACGGAGCACTGATCCCAATGATCATTGATTGTAATATACAACATAATGAGGATATTTCTAAAAATAAAGAAATGTTTATAGGTGCAAATAGCACAGAACAGATACAACAACAATTATATATCAACAACACGTATGCTCACCGGCCACTTTATCAGGTCCACATTGTTAGTTCCGGGTTGGACCCCCTTGTGCCTTCAGAACGGCCTTCATTCTTCGTGGTGTAGATCCAACAAGGTCTTGGGAACGTGCCTCAGAGATTTTGGTCCATATTGATATATGGCGTCACGCAGTTGCTGGACATCCATGATGAGAATCTCCCGTTCCACCACATCCCAATGTTCCTCTATTGGATGGAGATCTGGTGACTTGTGGAGGCCATTGGAGTCCAGTGATCTCATTGACACATTCAAGAAACCAGTTGGAGATGATTTGAGCTTTGTGACATGGTGCATTATCCTGGTGGAAGGAGCCATCAGAAGATGGGGACACTTGAGTCATAGAGAGATGGACATGGTCAGCAACAATACTCAGGTAGACGTGGGGTTCAAACGATGCTCACTTGGTACTAAGGGGCCCAGAGTATGCCAAGAAAATGTCCACCACACTATAACACCACCACCACCAGCCTGAGCCTGAGCCAAGTTGATACAAGGCAAGAACCGTGGATCCTCCACACCATGACACCACCACCAGCCTGAACCGTTGATACAAGGCAGGATGGATCCTCCACACCATGACACCACCACCAGCCTGAACCGTTGATACAAGGCAGGATGGATCCACCACACCATGACACCACCACCACCAGCCTGAACCGTTGATACAAGGCAGGATGGATCCTCCACACCATGACACCACCACCACCAGCCTGAACCGTTGATACAAGGCAGGATGGATCCACCACACCATGACACCACCACCACTAGCCTGAACCGTTGATACAAGGCAGGATGGATCCCCACCCACACCACCACACCATGACACCACCACCACCAGCCTGAACCGTTGAGACAAGGCAGGATGGATCCATGCTTTCATGTTGTTTATGCCAAATTCTGACTCTACCATATGAAGGTCACAGCTGAAATCCAGACTCATCAGACCAGGCAATGTTTTTCCAATCTTCTGTTGTCCAGTTTTGGTGAGCCTGTGCAAATTGTAGCCTCCGTTTACTGTTCTTAGCTGACAGGAGTGTCACCGGGCGTGGTCTTCTGCTGCTGTAGCCCATCTGCTTCAAGGTTGGACGTGATGTGCATTCAGAGATGGTATTCTGCATACCTTGGTTGTAACGAGTGGTTATTTGAGTTACTGTTGCCTTTCTATCATCTCGAACCAATCTACTGATTCTCTGACCTCTGATCAACAAGGCATTTTCGTTCACACAACTGACACTCACTGGATATTTTCTCCTTTTCGGACCATTCTCTGTAAACCCTAGAGATGGTCGTGCGTGAAAATCCCAGGAGATCAGCAGTTTTTGAAATACTCAGCCCAGCCCGTGTGGCACCAACAACCATGCCACGTTCAAAGTAATTTAAATCCCCTTCCTTCCCGATTCTGATGCTTGGGTTGAACCTCAGCAAGTCATCTTCACCACGTCTACATACCTAAATGCACTGAGTTGCTGTCATGTGATTGGCTGATTAGCAACTTGTGTTACCAAGCAATTGAACAGGTCAGGTGTACCTAAAAAAGTGGCTGGTGAGTGTATACAAGGATGTTATAAACTTCGATAGCCTTCATTGGCAGGACCATATATTTTTGACTGGTGATTGAGGCCTGGTCTGGGCAAAATTTATTTATTTATCAGAAAGAGGTGATGATTTCTTCATGGGGCACCATAGGGCATATAGGAATGGAGAAGGCAAGGTTACTGTTCCTGGGAAGTCTTCACCAAAATATTCTAAGGATACAAATCAGTCCTTCATACCTTATATGAGTGGTGGGTTTACATCCTATAGTCAAAAAATTAACGTCAGTCATGCAGGTCCACCTGGAAACCCATTTGTGTAGTTTGCTTGCCAAGTACATGCCTTTGTATGCATCTTAGAGGTAAAGGTAGCAGTGAAGCTGCAGTCATTAGAATTTTAAGGGACCCCAAAACAGAAGAGTGTTGGGAATCTGGCGTGTCGGACTAACAATTGTTAACATGGCAACTGCCAGGGCGAACCGGCTGACATTGACTCAATTTTGGTTTACTCTTGGATGTGTACTGAGAAGCACCTAGTACAAATGCTTGTATCAATTGAAGGTCTTTTTGAAATGTTTATTGGTTATTGGCCTGAATACAGCCAAGGCATTTCAGGGGAATCCTCCCTCCATGGATGTTATTAGAATCACAATGGAATGTATTAGGAGATGCTTGCTCAAGACTAACATCTCCTAATGGTACGAAGAACAGCCAGTTGAGTCATAGAGTCTTAACCCAATACAAGGAGAAACTTGACATGCACTCATATCTACAAAGGCTTAACTTGATGGTGTATTTTGTTTATTAAAATACAAAAAAAAATTAAATATATTATACAATTGTGTTTTCACAGACAAAACAAAGAGGTTTTCTCAACTGTGTGATAAACATATCTAACAGTTAAAGACGTTGTTAGTAAGAATTGTTAATTTTCATATTATCATCTTACAAGAAAGCACCCCTAAGTTTAATTCCATGGAGCTACTCCGACTACTGATGAGAAGGTTTCAACCTGCGATGGAGGCCATGGACCCTCTTGCCAATTTGGTAGCTGGTGAGACAAGATGCAAAGAGGACTTGTGGTTCACCAAGTACAAATACAGTTCGTATGTCCTTGAGATCCTACCTCCTGCTTTCCAGGGGACATGACCGCTTGCTGCCCAGTTGTCAGGCAACGAGATCTTTGAAGACCAGCTCAGCTCCCTTGTTAGTTACTGCTGCAGAACCCTCATCTTACTCATAGTAATGCTATACATTTAATGAATTGGTGTAGAAATGTTTAACATTATGGAAGCTCATTTAACCAGAGTGGGCCTCACAGTCATCCAGGGAACATGACCACTTGTTGCCCAGTCATCGGCCAACTGGATCTTTGGAGACCAGCTCAGCTCCTTTGTTAATTACTTCTGTTGTTTCTGCAGAACCCTCATCTTACTCATAGTAATGCTATAAATGTAATTGGTGTAGAACCTTTTCACATTCTGGAAGCTCATATAACCAGAGTGAGTCTTCATGGTTATCCAGGGGACATGACCACTTGCTGCCCAGCCATCAGGCAACAGGATCTCTTAAGACCAGCTCAACTCCCTTGTTAGTTACTCCTGCAGAACCCTCATCTCACTCATTGCAATGCTATAAATGTAATGCATTGGTGTAGAGAACTTTTTTAATTTTCATTTAACCAGAGTGGTCCTTCACGGTCATCCAGGGAACATGACCACTTGTTGCCCGATCATCAGGCACTGGGATCTTTGGAGACCAGCTCAGCTCCTTTGTTAGTTGCGTCTGTTGTTTCTGCAGAACCCTCATCTTACTCATAGTAATGCTATAAATGTAATTGGTGTAGAACCTTCACATTATGGAAGCTCACTTAACCAGTGTGAGTCTTCATGGTTATCCAGGGGACATGACCACTTGCTGCCCAGCCATCAGGCAACAGGATCTCTTAAGACCAGCTCAACTCCCTTGTTAGTTACTCCTGCAGAACCCTCATCTCACTCATTGCAATGCTATAAATGTAATGCATTGGTGTAGAGAACCTTTTTAATTTTCATTTAACCAGAGTGGTCCTTCACGGTCATGCAGGGAACATGACCACTTGTTGCCCGATCATCAGGCACTGGGATCTTTGGAGACCAGCTCAGCTCCTTTGTTAGTTGCGTCTGTTGTTTCTGCAGAACCCTCATCTTACTACTCAGATAGTAATGCTATAAATGTAATTTGGTGTAGAGAACCTTCACATTATGGAAGCTCACTTAACCAGTGTGAGTCTTCAGGGTTATCCAGGGAACATGACCACTTGCTGCCCAGCCATCAGGCAACAGGATCTTTAAGACCAGCTCAACTCCCTTGTTAGTTACTCTGTTGTTTCTGCAGAACCCTCATCTCACTCATTGCAATGCTATAAATGTAATGCATGGTGTAGAGAAACTTTTAAACTGGAAGTTCATTTAACCAGAGTGGTCCTTCATGGTCATCCAGTTAACGTGACCACTTGTTGCCCAATCATCGGCAACTGGATCTTTTAAGACCAGCTCAGCTCCTTTGTTAGTTACTTCTGTTGTTTCTGCAGAACCCTCATCTCAC